TTTTTGCCTTTCCTCTTGCCTTGTATTCAATAAGTTTGTTAGAATATGGCTACTTGTTAGTTAAGTTTGTTATTAACCAGCTTCTCTACTTTTACTCGATATAAAGAGCCTTTCCTTTGTATTCAATCATGCAAGATTTACCTTTATTCCATTAATGAGAATGAGTACCTTAACTTGCAAGTTACCATATTAACATGGTATCACATGTAATTTTCGATTCTCTCCTTGTTCTTCTTCTACTATGATAAATACTTATCTCTTCTTCTTCCTCCTCCTCTCCTCTAATGGCTCTTATCAACTTTGGATATTTCTCAACAAACTCTTCAAACCCCTATTACCTCCACCCCAATGAAAACTGAGTCCTCTTTCTTATTTCACCACCCTTAGATAACAATAGTTATCATTCTTGGGATAGATCCATGCACATTGCTTTGATCTCCAAGAGCAAGGAAAAATGCATCGATGGTAATCTACCTAAACATAACCCCACTGATCCTTTGTATGATACATGGATAAGGTGCAACACCATGGTTCTTGCATGGCTTCAACACTCCATCAATGAATCCATTGTAAGATCATTCCTTTGGATTGATTTTGCATCAGGTGTTTGGCAGAATCTCACAACTAGATTATCCCAAAGTGATATCTTTTACATTTCAGATATTCAAGATGAAATCTACAAGCTACGCTAAGGTTATATGGAAGTCTCTGATTACTTCTCCAAGATGAAGGTTCTTTAGGATGAATTGGAAAATTATCGACCAATCCCATATTGTAAGTGTTCGATTCAATGCAGCTGCAATGCTATCACATCTCTTAAGGTTTATAGAGATCAAGATTATGTAACTCAATTCCTAAAATGCCTCAATGAAAAATTCAGTGCAATAAAATCTCTAATCATGCTCATGACTCCTTTACTTGCTATTAACACAGTTTTCTTAATGTTCATTCAATAAGAAAGAGAGTTTTCTCTGCCTATCCTTGATATGCCTTTAACTGACAACCCTGATAATTCTTCCTCATCTGCATCTCTTGTGAGTAATTCTTCTCAAGGCAAGCCAAAATGGAAATGTATGAGTCCCCCTCGAGGCACAAACCATGTCTCTACTCATTATGACCGAACAAATCACACAATTGATACTTGCTTTCTTAAGCCTGGATATACTCCTAGATTCAAGAACAAAGGCAAATCACCTCAACCACATGTTTCTGATGATTCTAAGGCTAACAATGATTCTTTTGCTACATAATCTTCAAATTCCAAGTCTTTTGGTTTCACTAAGGAGTAGTACCATAATCTCAAACCAATCTAACCCAGCAACTAATGTTATCTCCAACACACCCTTTACCTTGACTTCTAAGTCATCTCCTCCTGATGGTAAGCATCATAATCTGTGGATTTTAGACACAGGTGCCACTGATCATATCTACCTCTTCTCTTTTAGACAACTCTACCATTGAAATTCCTACCTATACCTTACCTTTGAGAAAATCAACTAAAACTGTCAAACAACCCTCTTACTTACAAGATTTTCATTGTAAATCATTCATACATCATAATCATATTTCTCATAATCATGTTACATATCCCTTATCATCTGTTTTATTCTATCAACATTGCATGCCTTCTTACCATACTTTTTGTTATTCTATCTCCACTAACATTGAACCTAAGACTTATAAACAAGCCTCTCAATATGATTGTTGGAAACAAGCCATGACAATTGAGTTACTTGCTCTTGATCAAAACCATACTTGGTCTCTTGTTGATCTTCCATGAGGTAAAAGCATTGTTGGCTGCAGATGGGTATACAAAATCAAGCATAAAGCTTATGTCACTATTGAAAGGCATAAAGCAATACTTGTAACCAAAGGCTACACCCAATTAGAGGGAGTTTATTTCTCCGATTCATTTTCTCATGTTGCTAAACTTACCACAATTCGTGTTCTTCTTGCTTTGGCTGCAATCAATAATTGGCATCTTTAACAGTTATATGTCAATAATGCTTTTAAACATGTCAACTTAAATGAAGATGTATACATGGCATTACCTCCTGGTCACCCCGCTTCTCAATCCTCCCATCCTCAAGTTTGGAAGCTCCATAAATCCATATATGGTTTGAAACAAGCAATTCGACAATGGTACTCAAAATTGTCTCAAGATCTTCTCACATTGGGATACATAGTCTAACTTGAGGGGGTGTTAGATTATTCACTTACTTGTTATGCAAGTTTTTTTGTCTTTCCTCTTGCCTTGTATTCAATAGGTTTGTTAGAATGTTGTTTACTTGCTAGTTAAGTTTGTTATTAACCAACTTCTCTACTTGTACTCTACATAAAAAGTTTTTCCTTTGTATTCTATCATACAAGCTTTACCTTGCTTCCATTAATGAGAAGGAGTACCTTAGTTTGAAAGCTACCATATTAACATTAATGCTCATAATGTATTTCATGACTTCGATCTTCTCATTCTATTATATAAAATATATTTATCAAATCTTAAGGTACATTGTCATCTCAATACTTCTCACCTCTTATTCGCTTATTAACTTAAGTGTGATGGTATTTACTAATACCACCATTTATCGTTTCCTATACAACATATCTAAATCCATCTTAATTTTACAATACTTTGATCTTTTTATAGTATTATATATTGAGAATCAAGTGTGAGGAAGAATTCTCACATTGATTAGAAAAGAGAATAATGAACATTTTATAAGTGAGAGAACCCACACATCTATTACCTTAAGGTTTTAGGTGGATATGTGGTGTGTCTGTAAAAAAAAAGGTGTGTCCCAAGTGTAAAATACTCCCTCCTCAGAATTGTTCCTAACAGTGGTATCATGAGTCTTTGGTTTCGAGATAGAGACTGACTTACTTGTATCAAAACCTTAAAATATGTCAAAGATGATACAATAAATGAGAAAACTCATGCACTATCACCTTAAAATTTTAAATGAATATGTGATGTATCTCAAAAAAAAAAAAAAAGTGCCCCAAATATAAAATACTCCCTCCTAATTTTCCTTTAACATTATATAAAATTTATTTATAGATTGTTATCTCAATACTTCTCATATCTTATTCGCTTATTAACTTAAATGTGATTTATTCTTTTTCTAAACCACTTATCTAAATCCATCTTAATTTTGCATTACATATCACTTCTATTGAAGTTCTAAAAAGAATAGTAGTAGCCTCTGAGTGACCTAAGGGACAAAAGTTGGAACCTTATCTCATATCAAAACTCATTATCTGTGAGGAAAAACTATCATGCGGACCCCACTTCAATGGACAACTAGGTCTAATACTTTTATTCGACAAATTTTCTTTAATTCAATTGATAGTTATTTACAAATATCAGATATAAAAATATGAATTTGAGTCTTTATTATTTCATTTATTTATATTTAATAAGTTAATTTTATTAAACTATTTAATCAAAATATAAAAAAAAAACATGTCGAACAAATATAATCTATTTAAAATAATAGTTATTTTAATTAGATCCAACTTTTTTTTATATAAAATTTAAAATTTTAATAAAAAAGTTTTAAACACTATTTCCTCATTCATTATTATTGTTTTTTTTTATTTATTATTTTGGTCGATTTTAAATCAGCACCAATGTTGTCATGAAGTATTGTCTTTTTTAAATGTGAAAATTTTCACTATCCAACAATCGAGATTAAAAGACACAATAAGAATTTTAAATTTTCATAAATGATATCAATATCACAAATTCGCATCAATATAACTAATAATAATATCATTTAATTTAGTCTCAATTCTTAACACGAAATAAGAATAATAATAAAAATAAATTTAACAATATTCATTATATATATATATATATATATATATATATATATATATATATATATATATATATATATATATATATATATATATATATATATATATATATATTAAGAACTTAATAAACATATACTATCTCAGTCACTACTATTATACTATTATATAAGTCAAATTAATTTTATGAACTAATTTTATAAACTTAAATTTGAAAATTAAAAAAAACAGACTCTTAAATATAATACTAACCAATAAACACAAATTTCACTACCAGTATCTATTGAATCATCTATTTAATTTGATTTGGAGTTTAATTTTAATATTAAATAATTTTAATTTTCTTTCAAGAGTAAATTTTATTTAAGAAAAAAAAAGTAGTGATAATATAAAATATTTTTATATTGTCACTCTATGACAGACATGTATCATAATAAATTTTATTTTTAATTTTATAACAGTAAAATCACATGACAAATATATGAACTTTTAATTGATTGTTTATATAAAATTGTTTTAAAAAAATGCAATATCTTAAAAATCCTTATTTAATAAGTTCAATTTTGCAGGCATTTTGTCTTTTCAGCCGGCTACGTCTATCTTATATTTGTATTAACATTACAAATTTTAACAATAAAAACTCTTAAACAATAGAGTAATAAAACGTGGATTACTCGTAATTTCTTAATGTTTGGTTTTTTGATCCAACCAATGTTTTTTTTCTTTGTAATAAAAAAACCAATGTTTTGTTTCGCAGTAGTAGTACAGTGTCTGTGTTGCTAACGAGGACCCCATCTCCGATATTTCATTTCTCTCGAGCGAAGATTTTTCAGTTCATTCACTTTCTGTTCTTTCCATTCTTTCTCTTCTTCCACTCTCCTCATCCCAAACCCATTTTCATCAAAATCCACCCTTTCAAGGTTTTCTATTTTCCCTTCTTTCTCTTTTCACTATTTTAATACACTTTTCTGACTGTTTCCTTTTCTTTTCTCTTTCAATTACAAGGTTTTGGTGACTTTTAGGGTGTAAATTTTGGTTTTTTAGTTTTATCTTTGGAAATTTTCATCTGGGGTTGTAATTTTCGGGTAGTGGGAGTATAGGGTATTGAGGGGTTTTTTGGTAGTGTTTTGGATTATGAGTAGTTTTGATTATATTTAGGTTTTGGTTTTCTAGGTTTGTTGGAGATGGGGTTGTTGGGTTCTGAGAATGGGAAAGTTGTCGAGAATTGGGATGTGTGTAAATCAAAGGAGAGTAAGAAGAAGAGGAAGAAGAAGAATAAAGAGAATGAGAGTGTGATTAAAGAGGAAAAAACTGGGTGTTGGGTTAGGTTGAGATTTTTTGGTAGCTGCATTTCTTCAAGATCCAAAGTTGATACCTCGGTCAGTGGCACCGGCACCAGTACTCATTATGGTAATCACTGTCTCTTTTTGAAGTGTGTTATTGTTCATTGGTTGTTCTTTATGATGTTCTTGGAGGTTTTATCTTTGTAAAATGTGTTACTGATATTTTCATTATGATGTTCTTTATGATGATGTCGTTCACGGTTTTATCTTTGCGATAATGTTATTTTCATTATGATGTTGTTTGATGTTTTTATCTTTGGGACAATGTTATTTTCATTATGATGTTCTTGGAGGTTTTATCTTTGCGACAATGTTATTTTCATTATGACGTTCTTTGAGATTTTATCTTCGCGACAATGTTATTTTCATTATGATGTTCTTTATGATGACGTTCTCGAGATTTTATCTTTGGGACAATGTTATTTTCATTATGATGTTCTTTGAGGTTTTATCTTTGCGACAATGTTATTTTCATTATGATGTTCTTCGAGGTTTTATCTTTGCGACGATGTTATTTTCATTATGATGTTCTTCAAGGTTTTATCTTTGCGACGATGTTATTTTCATTATGACGTTCTTCGAGATTTTATCTTTGCGACGATGTTATTTTCATTATGACGTTCTTCGAGATTTTATCTTTGCGGCGATGTTATTTTCATTATGATGATCTTTATGATGATGTTCCTTGAGATTTTATCTTTGCGACAATGTTATTTTCATTATGATGTTCTTTATGATGTTCTTCGAGGTTTTATCTTTGCGGCAATGTTATTTTCATTATGACGTTCTTCAAGATTTTATCTTTGCGACAATGTTATTTTCATTATGACATTCTTCGAAATTTTATCTTTGCGACAATGTTATTTTCATTATGATGATCTTTATGATGATGTTCCTTGAGATTTTATCTTTGCGACAATGTTATTTTCATTATGATGTTCTTTATGATGTTCTTTGAGGTTTTATCTTTGCGGCAATGTTATTTTCATTATGACGTTCTTCGAGATTTTATCTTTGCGACAATGTTATTTTCATTATGATGTTCTTTATGATGTTCTTCGAGGTTTTATCTTTGCGGCAATGTTATTTTCATTATGACGTTCTTCAAGATTTTATCTTTGCGACAATGTTATTTTCATTATGATGATCTTTATGATGTTCCTTGAGATTTTATCTTTGCGACAATGTTATTTTCATTATGATGTTCTTTATGATGTTCTTCGAGGTTTTATCTTTGCGACAATGTTATTTTCATTATGACGTTCTTCGAAATTTTATCTTTGCGACAATGTTTATTCATTATGATGATCTTTATGATGATGTTCCTCGAGATTGATTTTATCTTTGTGACAATGTTTATTCATTATGATGATCTTTATGATGATGTTCCTTGAGATTTTATCTTTGCGACAATGTTTATTCATTATGATGATCTTTATGATGATGTTCCTCGAGATTTTATCTTTGTGACAATGTTATTTTCGTTATGATGTTCTTTATGATTATGTTCTTCGAGATTTTATCTTTGCGACAATGTTGTTTTCATTATGATGTTCTTTATGAAGATGTTCCTCGAGATATTATCTTTGCGACAATGATATTTTCATTACTTGTCCTAATACTTTTTCCCGGTTGGGTTTTCATTACTTGTCCTGCTACTTTTTCCCGGCCGCGTTTTCATTACTTGTCCTAATACTTTTTCGCGATCGCGTTTTTTTGGTTTTTTGGTTTCTCATTAGCTGAAAGCAAATCAACTACTGATACAAGTAGATGCCAACCAACGGCTCCGGTAATCTCTTCCACAACAACTAGTAATGCAGAAAGCAATTCATCCACTTCTAAACTCGAAGAGGAGCTTAAAATTGCTTCCAGGCTGCGGAAATTCTCTTTCAACGAACTTAAGTCGGCGACAAGAAACTTCCGGCCCGAGAGTTTTCTTGGCGAAGGTGGGTTCGGTTGTGTTTTCAAGGGTTGGATCGAAGAAAACGGAACTGCTGCAGTGAAGCCTGGTACAGGGCTTACCGTCGCTGTGAAAACCCTTAACCATGACGGGCTTCAGGGTCATAAAGAATGGCTGGTTTGTATATTTTTAACATTCCTTTTTTGTATCTTATATAATCGCTGTCGCCAAACTTTATCTTTCTAATCACGATTCTTGTTTGGATCATATGACAGGCTGAGGTAAATTTTCTTGGCGATTTAGTTCATCAGAACCTTGTTAAACTCGTTGGTTACTGTATTGAAGATAATCAAAGGTTGTTAGTGTACGAATTCATGCCTCGAGGAAGTTTGGAAAATCACTTATTTAGGAGTAAGTTACTATTTTATATTTGCAAATTCGGATTAAATCATTGTTCAATTTTCTCATGTAAAAATTAATATTATATCGTATGTAGGATCTCTGCCTCTTCCATGGTCGATTAGGATGAAAATTGCGTTAGGAGCTGCACAGGGTCTTGCTTTTCTTCACGAAGAAGCTGAACGACCAGTAATATATAGGGATTTTAAAACTTCGAATATACTATTAGACGCGGTAAGTATAAAAAATTACGATAAGATTACATTTTTCTTTTATCTTTTTGTCGGTCTAATATTGTTTTGAATCAGGACTACAATGCCAAGCTCTCGGACTTTGGTCTCGCCAAAGATGGTCCCGAAGGTGATAAAACCCATGTGTCTACTCGAGTAATGGGAACCTATGGTTACGCAGCACCAGAATATGTCATGACAGGTAAGATAGCTTTATATGAAAAAAATTCAAATCTCACATGCTTACACTTATGATGAATTGTTGATCTCTTTCGGGTGTGATCTTGATTTTTTTCCTTGTATGCCATATTTATGAGTATTGCCATGTTTGGATAAACGACTTATTTAAGTGTTTATAGCGTAAGCGTTTATCATTTAAGTGCTTATGCATATAATATTTACATATTTACTCTTGTGTGATACTGGCAGGTCATCTTACATCAAAAAGTGACGTATACAGTTTCGGAGTCGTACTACTTGAGATGTTAACCGGAAGAAGATCTATGGACAAACACCGACCCAACGGTGAACATAACCTTGTTGAATGGGCTCGACCGCATCTAGGAGAACGAAGAAGGTTCTACCGGTTAATAGACCCTCGTCTTGAAGGTCATTTTTCTGTAAAAGGAGCTCAGAAAGCTGCACAACTAGCCGCTCATTGCCTAAGCAGAGATCCAAAAGCGAGACCCCTAATGAGCGAAGTCGTGGAAGCTTTAAAGCCTCTCCCGAATCTCAAAGACATGGCAAGCTCGTCATACTATTTCCAAACAATGCAAGCCGATCGGTTTGGAGTGAGTCCAAACTCTAGAAGTGCGCATGTACAAGGAGCATCACTTGCTCGGAATGGACAACAACGAAGGAGCCTTTCGATACCGAATGGTACTCATGTATCTCCTTATCATCATAAGTTTCCCCAACAATCACCTAAACCTAATGTCAAAGCATAGAGCTAGTGAAATTTTTTCCATCTCTTAACGTTTCATCTGGCTGTTTGGAAATATTGAAATATTGTTTTGCCCTTGGAAATGCCATTTCTTGATTTCATTAGGCTTTGCTTGTGTATGATGCTAAACATTTGGCTCTTAACTAATCATAGGCTTTTGTTCATAGAAAGATGAGAAAGGAACTTTATTATTGTATTAATTTATGTAGTTGTATGTCCCTATGAGATCTAGAAAATGATTAGTTGCTTTTTTTATTTACAAGGTTTTTAGTCACATTTAAACTATAAGGTGCTCTATATGCTTTATAGCATAGTATATTCAAATTTTAAAATTCAAACTAATTTGATAATTGTTTTGTACCTTTTAACAAATAAATTAGGCTGTTAAAACTCAAGTGTTCCTTCTGCATGGTTAAATTTGATATTCTCTCCTCATACTAGTCTTTAAAAAAAATTGACCCGTCTTTCTTAATAATCGTGAAATTTATCTTTTTTATTTATAAATCAGATCGGAATAGTATCAATTAAACTCTATTTAAGAATGCGACAATCTTATATAATATTAAGTCCGTTTTTTTTATAAGAGACAAATATTTTTTAAACTTATTGAATAATTAATATATTTCGTGTGTTTATAATACATTGATTATATAAATTTAAAAGATGAGTTCCATTTAATCTCATTACAAACCCTATCATTATTTCTAAAGTCTTTGCTATAAGTTGTTCGCCTCCTTTTCTTTTATTCTGAAACCCTATCACTATTTTTGCAGTCTTCATTGTAAATATTGTTCGCCCCCCTTTTTTATGTGCATAGAAAATTTTGTAAAAATAGCATTTCTTTCAACTTGGAATTGTTTTTTTCTGTTTTGTATCTGTTATCATTTAATTTCTACAAAAATTGAAGTTCTTATTTTTGTTTCTCTTCCATTTTTTTCTTCAAATCTATAAAAGAAAAGATTGTGGATGGAATTTTAGATCTGGAGCTAATAACATGTCAATAATATCTTATCTTCAAGTTATGGTAATTTTATATTTTATTTTATTTTATTTTTCAGAGCTATAAAAATATTATGGAACAAATTTCGTATGAGCATAAAAAATTACTTGAAATTTGTATGCCTTTATATTACGAAGTTAGAGATTTATTCACATTGTATTTTTTTTTTATAGTAATAACTCAAAGAAGGTTGAGAAATGAACATTAATGAAAATTGGTAAATTCTTTTTTTTTATTTGATTTTTTTTCTCAATTTCATTTTAGCTTTTTTCTTTTTTAATGTTTTTCATAAGAATTTAGTATGTGTAATGTTTTTGTTTAATTAAAAAAAACTATCTTTTATTTAGGAATCAAGAGAAATTGTCAGGATTAATATTAATGGGAAGGGATTACAAAGAAACAAAGGAGAGATAGGTTTTGCTCAAAATAAGACATTGATGTTGAGAATTGAAATTCTGGTATCAAATATGTGATGTCAAATGAGATGTCACGACACAAATATCTGATGACAATATAAAATGCAATAATATTAAAAGCAATAAAAACACAAAGGATTGTTCACTCAGTTTGGTGTACAACAACACATACTCTGGGGACTACCAAGTCAGGGATAAGTCCACTAAATAGTACCAGTTCATAGACTCTCAGTAAACAACCAGTTTACGATCTAATCACTTAATCATTATCCGTGCTATACTTCTACCTAAGACACACTTAGGATGAAGCCCTCCTCAAATCCCTTCAATCACTAACAGTGAAAAACCACATAATTATTAAGTTTGAAAAACCTCAATCATTCAATACTTAAAAGCTTATGAATGATCCACAATTCACAACTCAAATTACAACTCGAGTATTGAAACAATACTAGAGTGTATTATAATTAAAAGAGTCAGACTTCTAAAACACACAATATATTTTTCTTCAATTGTTGCCGTCGTATGAATAAGGATGCAAGTCCTTATAAAGGCGCAACAACTTCTTTATGGGCTTGGGCTGAAAAACCAATATTGCAATATATTGAATCCATTAAATATCTATATGAAAGTAGGTCAAGATATAAACCATAAAGATGAGACAGATCGAAAAATATTTCTTCATATTTTTCACAAGTTATAAACTACAAAACCTGAATAAGGCGCGCTTAAAAACAGGAAACAGAAAATCTGAAAACACGTTCAGATCAACAGAAAGATGTTAAGACATCTGCTTTGACATCATTCAAAATCAGTTGAGATGATTTACTTCAGATGTCAAGAAATTAAGCAAAACATTACCAAATCAGTGTTTTACCAAAATTGTTGCCAACAAACACTTACGAACTTTCCCTTTGGCAAATTTTGGTTAAAACAATATTTGAACACATTATCAGAGCAGCGGCAAAAAAAACTCAGTTAGCAGAAACTCAGTTAGCAGTTAGCAGTGAAAGATGTCAGGACATCTTTTGAGACATGAAGCTCCCCCTCAAACTTACCAGTCAGTCAGTCATTTTCTATCCCCCTTTTTAGATATAATATGCCAAATAAACATGCATTCAAGAGAGTAGTAGAAAAAGAAGTACAAACTAGAATATCCAAGTATCAAGCACATACAAGTGCCAAAAATAACATAAGGATCAGAACACAAAAGAACACAAAAAAAGCACCAGCATAGAGTCTAACTGTCTTCAGGACCAATAGACTTGGTAGTTTCAAAAATTCCTTCATTATCAAAATCTCCTCCTTCAGTACCCACACTGTTATCCTTCTGCAGATCCTTGACAAGCTTTTCAAATTTTAGCTTCCTTACTGAGCTAACTCTAATTACCGCATCAAGTTCTTTGCAGGCTTCCATCAACTCAGTAATCATATCATCCTTGCTTGAGGTCTTATTTTCAGAGGATGCAGATGTCAAAACAATGTCTGGGACATGTTTACCTGAAAATAACTTGAAATGAAGGGACATGGCATACTCCCTTTTGCAAATTGCATCAGTGCCACACAGAATTCCAGGGTGTTGATTTAGAATAATTCCATAAATGAGAGATGGAAAGGCAATAGACATCTTGATAGCATAATTTCATGTATGCTTTACAGTCTGTTCAAAAATGTAACCACCACAATCAAACAATTTCTTATTTCTAACAGCATAGATAAATTTTCCTAAACCAACTGTAATGATTGAGGTATGATTGGTAAGGACCCAGTTAGCAGCTCCAATTCTATGCAGGATAGCATATTTCACACTTAACTTACTAACATGGAGCTTATTCTTCATGGGCCAATCACTCACTTGGTTTGCAGCGATGGCTTTGCACACTTGATTATCAATCACTTCTAACTCACAGTAATCATCTTCAGACCTGCCCAAATATCTATTGATGACAGCAGGGGGAAATTCAACACATCTACCTCTAACAAACACCTTCATATATTACTTACTTTTGTGATCATCACAATCTATAAGAATATTAACAACAAATTTCTTAACAAGAGTCTCATAACATTTTGCAAACCTGGTGACAATCTTCATCAAGCCAGCAAAAGAAATCAGCTCTATAATCTCTTTGCATTCCAGTGCATCTGCTCCCAACTCTCTTTCAAGAGCAATCCTTCTTTGGAAGACATATTTCCATTTTCCAGCATTGCCAACAGAATGGAAGGAAATGTTGTCAATAGGAGCATCAGGCACTCTGACAGAAAGCTTCTTTCTTGCAGACTTCTTCACAGGAGAGATATCCTGGACATCATCCTCATCATCATTTGAGGAGCTATCAGGTCTAACTTTTCTTTTGTTGGAGGGAGGAACCACTTTACTCCATGGATTTGGGGGACCATACGTAGTCTTCTTCTTGATACTATTGGCAGGGGGTGTGACATCCACAATCTTCACTTTTCTAGATTTGAGCCTTTTAGCAATTCCAGGCACCACATTGGTAATAAGATCATTGTCAAACAACTCATTAACATTCACCATATTCTCAGCATTTGTATTCTTTGCAATTTTGGATCCAGTCACATCTTCCTTAGCAGAAGAGTCCTTCTCAGCAGATGATGTCTCAACATCTTGTTCAATATCAGCTTCTACTTCTTCTATAATAGATGTAGCAAACTTGCCAAGTTCACATTCAGCAACATCTTTCTTTAAGGTAGATGATTCAGCAGCATGTTGAGGATTAGTACCTTTGTCAGCTTGAGCAGGCATTCGGGAAAGAGGAGTAGTAATCCCAGGCATAACAAAACCCTTATTTAACACCCTATCTACCAGCCTTCCAATACTCCTATCAACATTAACAATGTCTTCTCCTGGCCTATCATCAGTAGTATTAGGAGCATTACCTTTAGAAGTGTCAAACTCGTCTTTGGATTTCTTTGCATGTGATGATCTGGGTTTCTTGACCTTCTTCTCAAGAAGTGGAATAGTTGCCAGAGGAGCAACGACCAAGACTTTATCAAGGGAGAGATCCTCAGAATGGTTGATAGACTTTGACCTAGAAGCCTTGGCTTCATCAGAAGAGCACTTTGAAGGAGATGAAGCATGATGTTACGACATCTTTGAATATTTTTGAACAGTGAGATGGAAAATAACAAGGGTTCTTTTTCTGTAAAGGAGAACGAAGAGGTTGTGAAAATATAATGAGGTATATTTGATTTTTTTGGAAACATAATAAATGATATAATATCACTTTAATGATATTCTCACACGCCCTTAATTGCTACAAACTCTCATATATGCATATCCCTAGTTTTCCTCTTAAGTTCTCAAACTGGTTTGCATCCAAAGTCTTAGTGTAAATGTCATCCAGTTGTAATTCAGTAGCTGCATGTTCTAAGGCAACAATTGTTTCCTCAACAAGCTCTCTTATGAAGTGATGATTGATATCAATGTGTTTGGTCCTGCTGTGTTGAATATGATTTTTTGATATATTTATGGCACTTAGATTGTCACATAATAATGTCATGACATCCTGTTTGACATTATATTTTGTCAACATTTGTTTCATCCAGACTGTTGCACCCCAAAAT